TCACTCTACATTAGTGGATAGATAATAATTATAACCAATTTTAGAAGCCAACTAAAAACTACTAAAAATTAGCAGTAAATAAGAGTTTTAGCTGCCTCCTGCCATGACCCAAGCTTATTTAAAGATCAAGTATATGGGGAAATATTTTCCTATCAGTTTTGTTTCTTAAAACCCTGTTTCAAAAATCTGATGCCTTTGCTAAAACTAACATTAGTCCACCAAAAACCTTCCAGCCATCTTCTAAAACCACAGTTCTCAAAGTGTGGTCTTGGGATTCTCAGGACCCTGTCTAGGGGTCTAGGAAATTAAAACTACTTTCAAAATAATACTAAAACATCATTTGTATTTTTTACTCACCCTTCCTTTAATGTACATTAAGTTTCATAGAGACTACATAATGTGTGAGATCATAACAGAGTGCAGAAGGTAATGTGAGAATTCAGCTGTCTTTTATCAGCCAGATATTAAAGAAAATTTCAAAAATGTTTTAAAAAAGCCCTCATACTCACGAATTGTTTTATTATCACTATAGTTATTTTTAATAAAAATGTATTATTTATGTTAACAGGTATGGGCTTATTGCTCTTTTTAGATTAATAAACACATACATGTATATTCAATTTTCCCAGCTTCAATTACCATAATAAAGATACATATCATATACATAAACACAAGCTCTTTTAAGAGTATAAAGGGGTTGGCTGGGCACCATGGCTCACGCCTGTAATCCCGGCACTTTGGGAGGCTGAGGCAGGCGGATCACAAGGTCAGAAAATTGAGACCATCTTGGCTAATACAGTGAAATCCCATCTCTACTAAAAATACAAAAAAATTAGCTGGGCATGGTGGCAGGCGCCTGTAGTCCCAGCTACTCGGGAGGCTGAGGCAGGAGAATGGTGTGAACCTGGGAGGCGGAGCTTGCAGTGAGCCAAGATTGCACCACTGCACTCCAGCCTGAGTGACAGAGCGAGACTCCATCTCAAAAGAAAAAAAAATAGGAGTATAAAGGGGTCCTGAGAACGAAATGTTTGAGAACTACTGATGTAAAATATTCATAACCTGTTTTCTCTAGCTCCTTCTAGTCTTTGTGCTTAGCTTATTAACCATTATCATCCTTGGTATGTTGTTCCACTTCAGGTTTTCTGTTACTTGACAAAGTCTAAGATATTGCAGTGTCTTCTGATTCTTACTTGTGAACAGACAAATTAGTCTCAGTCAACAATTCCACCCTAGGAAATGATATATCAGATGGTGCTATTACACAACAGACTTCACAGAATCTGTTCTGAAAAAATGTCATCATGAAAGTCTAGGAGCTTTATTGTTAAAGAAAGAACTTCTTGGTATATGAGAATTTTCATGTTGTTACTGTGTAAGATGATGAGTTTTCTTAAAATTATTTAGACACTTGGCAAATCAGACTCAATACTGGGCCTTCTGCAATTCCAATAAAAAATAAAGACTGGCCGGCCCATCTAAGTGCCCTACTTGGAGTCTGGCCTGAATGAGTCAAACAGAAAGAAGTATTCCTTCACCTCTCAACAGTTGTTAACATTCTTTCCTTACTACTCCTTTCTGAAACATTCTCTTGCTTTATAATTGACCCACCACACCCTACTAAGTCAACTGTAATCTCTAATTACAACCTGTCCACTCCTTGAACAAAGGTCTTCCACTCATTTCTCCTCAGTCCTTTTCACTACTTATCCCACACTGGTATACATATATCAGCTATGTACAAATGACTCCCACACCACAAGTCAAGCTTTGACTTAGCTTATCCATGCAAGACCACAACTGTTGAATCACCCCAGATAAGTATATTGCTAGCTCCTCTCCTAACATATGCAACCAAAATCGTTACTTTCACCACAAACAGCAAAACTTAAACTGTTTCTCTTACTCTATTCACTGGTTCTCAACTGCGTGTGATTTTGCCCCCAGGGGACATTTGGCAATTTCTAGAGACTTTTTTGTTTTGTTTTGTTTTCACAACCAGGAAATGGGGTTTCTACTGGCATCCAATGGATGGAGGCCACTGATGCTGCGAATAACCTACAATGTACAGGACAGACAAATAATTATCTGACTCACAATGTTAACAGTGCTGAAGTTACAACACATTTCTCTATTCCCATCACTTCCTCATCTCCCCTCCAGCCAGGAAAATGATTCGCATCTCTGGCATAGATGTTGACACCAGGATCCCATATAAGCTGGATTTGAAAGTAAAGTGGCTGGAGGTTTTGGATCAACAGAAACCTGAATACAGTAGAACAACCTCCAAGAAGAAGGTGGGCTTGGGAATCAAATGGGCAATGATTGAAACCAATGTTAAATTTGGAAGTTTCAACTGAAATATCAAAATATTAAAAATTCTGCATTGGAAAGGGGGTGCTAAACCATATAAAAATTTTAATGAATTTGGTTAATGACTGATTCCGTGATTCTCTCAAATGCCTCAGCCTTTTTGAAGTTTAAAAATAGTCATGAGAGCAAAAGTAGAAACTATCTTCGCATGGAAAAAAAATGTCTTTGTGGATTACTGCTTCCATCCTCAAGCCCTACCTCTTGTAGAACAAAAGAAAGTTGACAGCTGTTTGTGCCTCATCGCAAACTGGTGAGAGGGAGTTTATAGGGATTGCCTAGAGTTTGATGAGTCTTATGTATTATGGAGACATAGCAGCCTATTGCTTGACTCATACACAGAAAATCTAGGGATTGGGATGGTCTGGCCAGCAGCTTTAGGAGCATGTTGCTGCTGATTTATTATCTACTAATTTATTATCTGCTGATTTATTGTCTGAGTCAAGAATGTGTTTATGCTTCCCATGGACCAGATGAGGGTCAGCCAGCATGTGAGTTGTATTAGAGCCTCCCCTATACGGACTGCCTGTGCTGAGGCCTCAGCAGACAAGAGTTCAAGGTGAACCAAATAATTGCTAAGAGCTACAGAGGAAGTAAGTGACCAGAGGAAATAGGGAAACTTTTATCTGTATCAAGGAACTCAAGGGAACTATAGATGAGATGATACACAAGGGTTTCCAATGACTCCACCAAAGTGCCCACTAAAGAATTAGCTTTTATCATCAGTCAGGCTCCAAGGGAGTAAAGTCATGTTAAAATGAGAACAAAGATAACTTTTCCATCTCCCTTCTCTCTCCTCTCTTCCCATTAGACTAACAAATTGAAGGAAGAGAAGAAATGCTAGGAGTTGAGCTTCCAGCACCCATTGCAGAGCAGACCCCAGCTTGGGAAGGGGTGGTGGGAGAATGGTTTTATACTTTAAATGACGTTCTAAGTTTTGTTATTTGACTACACATTTTTTTTACCTAATTGAGACAAGTCATTTAAAGTGGTTATAACTCTTTCTCTTACTTGAGGATGAACGGAAGAGTTATGGAGCTTGCTCAAGTCTGCATCCAGTGGTAGGGAAAGTACTACTCCTACCGATCAGTATTACAAGATCACTGGGACACGATTCTTAAATAACGTTGCTTCTATGATTATAGACCCTGTATGTACATCAATGCCCAAAGCATGGGCAGTGAGGCAAAATCTGTATGCCCAACAATGTGAATGAATTTAGGAAGGAAAAACTAAAGAAGAGACCAGGGACATTGCCTGAATTTGGTGGAGTCATTGCATGACCCCCTAGTGGGAGGGGAGTAAATGCTGAGAAAATGTGAATATCACCCAAGTAAAAAACTCCCTCCTCTCCTTTGCTATCCATATGTAGGCAGTTGTCAAGTCCAGTTGAATTCACTTCCACAATATTCTGTATCAGTCCCTCTCCATTCTCTCTGCCCTCCTGTTTTCTTTCTCACATTCTTATTTCTGGATCTCCTAGCTTGAATTTGTTCCACAAGATCTAACTGTCATTCTATCAGTCTATCAATCACTCTTCACTCAGTTTCAAGAGCTATATATATTCTTAAAGCAAAAGTTTGCATATATCATTCTCTAGTTGGGCAACCTTTTAGGGCATCTATTTTAACGGATAAAATCTAAACACTTCAGCATGGCATTCAGGGCTCTTCATGGTATAGTCACTCACACACACACACACACATACACAAACACACACGCAGACAAAATGTTTCTGTCATGCCAGACTGCTTGACATTGCCCAAATAGGCCATAAATTTTCTTATCACTATGATTTTTCTCATATTTTGACTCTAATCTGAAATATTTTTTCCTCTGCCCCACCTTGCATATACCTCCGCTCCTCCTGCTTTTGAAACCCTACTCGTTGTTCTAGGCCCAGCTTATATTAGAGTTCTGTGAAACATTATCTGGTCCCCAAGTCAGAATATTATTCCTTCTCTTTCCCCAGATATTTCTTTTATTGCACTTATTTCCACCACTTATTCTACTCTGACTTATAATATAGATCATTTTTGCTTGTATGTCTCCTCCCCCACTAGTTAGTAAATCTTTTGATGCCTTACCTATAATAGACAGTCAATAGATGTTTGTTGAACTAAATTAAATACTACTGACCAGCCTTGAGAGGTGGGAGAAAGAGGCCTTGGAAGCTGACACAGGGATGTCGAAGAGTTTGAACGCACTGCTGGGCCTCTCGGTGGTGATGCTGACAGCAGCCATGGTGGCCAGCATGCATCTGGAGCAATGGCAGGACCAGCAGAGGCTTCATGATGGAGTTATCAGAGACACTGAGAGACAAAATTAGAAAAAAAGTAAACATTCGTCTTTGGGGAGAACAGATTATTTTAACTGTGCAACTTGAAGCAGAAAGACAGAAGACGTTATTGGCAAAGGATTTCAAAAAACTTAACTTGAAATGAATGTGAAATATCAATGGGAGAGATGACATTGTGTGTGTGTGTGTGTCTGTGCCTGTTGATGGAGAATAGCTTAGTGGTATCTTAATCTTTTTTTAGTCACTATCTTTTTAAACTTGATCAAATAAAGGACAGTGGATCATATATTGTAAATTACTGCTTTCAAAGTTCCTTATGTCTGAATAAAGAAGTATGGGTGTACAGTCTCCTGACGAGTTTCTGTCTGTGTGATCCTGGTAAAAGTCCTGTTAAGTTCATGGTCCAGAGCTTAGGATTGTGACTGAAAAGTGCTGCTAAACCTGTGAGAAGGAAGGAAGAGATTGTTATATCCACCTGAGTAGTTCGATCAGTCAACACAGTGATGGAGCCACAATAACATCTACCTCAGAAGGGCTGGATGAAAGTGAAGTGGAGAGAGAAACTCCCCTGATTGTCAAATTGGAGGATCAGACATCAGTAGATTTATGTCATGACTAGAGCAGGGATCCCCTAACAGCGATGAAGAAGATGTGTTGTGGATGGAGAAGCAGCTGTCCTGCTTCTGTGATAAGTTCCAAAAATGGATAAAAACAAGACAGCTGAGGGGACAGTTCGGTTATGTTAAGGGTGATAAATTTTTTTAGATTTACTTTTTCTGATTGCTCAGCAGACGGCAAGGAACAGTATAAAAGGCTGAGGCTGACATGGCAGCAAAGTCATCATGTTGGCAATGTACAATTTGTCTCTGGAAGGATGTAGACATCAAGGTTATTTCAGGTAGAACAAAGATATCTGTACTTTTATTGGGAAACATCGGACTTTTTTACTAGGGAAAAATAAAAAGACTTCAAACTGGTGGAGCACAGTAGCAGGTTGCCTCAGTGTGAGACGTCCCATATACTTCTGTTCAGGTGCTCAGGAATTTGGATAACCAGGATGATGGAAGCTTGTTCATAACAAACCCTCAACATTGAAACCTAAGGAAAAAAAGTTGTCTGCCCCAAGTCTGAAGTAAAAGCAGCCTCAAAACCAACCTTAGATCCCATCATTACTGTTCAGGGACTTAGAGAACAGGCAAGTTAGAATCCTGTGGAATCTGCCATGGAATTAAAAGAGAAAAGGTCTTGAGCTCAGGAAGCAAAAGACATTAGAAGAGCCCAGAAAGAAGTGGCTGACTTTCTTGACAGAAGTATGTCTTCTATCCCTGTAAAATCCAAAGCCAAGGCCACAAGTCATATGTGATTCTTAAGAAAGAAGAGATTGACTTTTCATCTTTGAGCTCTTCTGACCATACCACATTGACAAGCCCATCTACTTCTCCTCTGGATTTCTCTGCGCCCCGCCACCCCCGCCCACCAGACAGCTGCCTCTCATTCGGTAATGCCTGGTTTTCTTTTAGAAGCAGATCTGATTCCAGATGTAATGCCCCTACAAGCTTTGTTCCATGATGATGATGATGAGATGGAAGGCAATGGAGCCATAGACCCAGGGATGGAGTATGTCTACAACATTGACACGTTGCTTAGGTGAGCAGTACAAAAAAAAAAAAAAAAAAGAGAGCGAGGATGTTCTTTTAAAGCCACTGAAACTTGGAGGTAATTTGTTAGTACAGTATCACTTACCCTATTTAACTGATACAGGTAGGCAAAATTTAATCAATAACACATTTAATTGACAAAAAACTGAATCTCAGGGAAACTAAGGGGCATTTTCAATATGGCATTTATTAGTCAGTTACTAGAAGGGTAGTAGGATTCATCACCAGATTTTCTGACTGTAAGTGTAAGACATTTTTCATCAACTTTAAAGGGGAAAAAAACCTTTAAAATGTATGTATTTAAATTTTACATTGAACACAATTGTATACATATACATATGTATATACATGCATATAATTGAAACAGCCTTTACAAAAATTATGGCAGTGAGAAAAATCTGACAGAGAAAAACAATGACAGTGAAAAAAATGTGACCTAACTGGCTCCATCTTGCTTCTAGCCTTCAAGTTGCCCTTGTTCATTCCTTGGTGCAGGCCAAGGTAACTATAGGAAGAATTTATTTTATAGTTTAACCTTCAAGCAAAGGTGATAACAGCCCCTTCCCAAAACTATCCTCTTTTTGCTTGGTGACCAAAACCACATTTGTAAAACTAACAAATTAGCCACAGGATTAGAATTATGATCAGGAGTTACATAGCCAGAGGTTATAAGATTCATACCCTTTCCAATTTTTTCTATAGATAACATTAGTGTAAAATCTACAATTGGCGTTCAAGGTGGTTTTTAGACTTTGCATTCTGATGGATGAGGTGGAACCATCCAGATAAGTAACTCATACCAACAAACTGGCTCAACTGATCATGTGGTCCCACCTAGGAACTGACTCAGTGCAAGAAGTAGCTTTGACCTCCTATAATTTCATCCTCAACCCAATCAATCAGTGTTCCCCATTCCCTAATGCCCACCAAATTATCCTTGAAAAATCCTAGCCTCTGAATTTTGGGGGAGACTAATTTAAGTAATAATAACTCCAGTCCTTCCGCTTGGCTGGCCCAGCAATTAATAAACTCTTTCTCTACTGCAATACCATTGTCTCAGAGAATTGGCTTTTTATCTGTGCAGCAAGCAAGAAGAATCTGCTGGGTGATTAGACATACACACATATATAATTTTAGAGTAGATACAAGATAAAATGGAAGTAATAGAAATGATAAATTTCAATATAATTACATTAAAATATTGTTTCATTTTGGTCTTCCTTAGTGAAAATGTTTACATTTATTTTTAAACCTAAATAATTTATAGTTTTACATAACAAAATGTCTAAAATTTTATAATTGTTTGTACATTATTACTTATCTTGAGCCCTTAAAATTATCTCTTCATAATGAATTAATGACATCTTCAGCAACCGGGAGGAGCCTGGAGTCTATTACTGTAAGTGAAGTAACTCAGGAATGGAAAACCAAACAATGTGTGTTCTCACTCATAAGTGGGAGCTAGGCTATGAGGATGCAAAGGCACAAGAATGAAACAATGGACTTGGGGGACTCAAAGGGAAAGGGTAGGAAGAAGGTGAGGAATAAAAGGTCACAAACTGGGGGCAGTGTATACTGTTCAGGTGATGGTGCACCAAAATCTCACAAATCACCTCTAAAGAATTGACTCATGTAACCAAACACCAGTTATTCTCCAATAATCTATGGAAATAAATTTTTTAAAGTATCTCCTTGTTTAGAAAATATATATAGACTTTGTTTGTATATAGATTTTGTTCTTGACAGGAGTATGTCTTCTATCATTGTAAAATTCATAAGCCAAGGCTGCAAGACAGATGTGATTCTGGCTTGCAGTCTTGGATGATGAATTTTACAGGCATAGAAAAGAAATGAACTTAGAAAAGAGATGTTTGGAAATGAACTTGGAACTTGGAAAGGAAGTATTTGGAAAAGTACTTGATTTCTAGTTAAGCCATTTTCAGGTACTTTACAGTACTTAGATATCTTATATATTTGTGTCAAAGTTGTATATATTTAGAAGTATTACCAAAATAACAAGAGATGTGCTATATATTTAAAATTATTAAACTCAATGCTATGTGTATTATGAACTAAAATAGACTCTTTTGGGTTTTTTTTCTATAACCTTAAAGTTTACATTTTTCTTGTTGAAATTTGAGATGGGGGTGGAGCAAGATGGCCGAATAGGAGCAGCTCCAGTCTCCAACTCCCAGCGCGAGCGACACAGAAGACCGGTGATTTCTGCATTTTCAACTGAGGTACTGGGTTCATCTCACTGGGGAGTGCCGGACAATCAGTGCTGGTCAGCTGCTACAGCCCGACCAGCGAGAGCTGAAGCAGGGCGAGGCATTGCCTCACCTGGGAAGCGCAAGGGGGAAGGGAGTCCCTTTTCCTAGCCAGGGGAACTGAGACACACAACACCTGGAAAATCGGGTAACTCCCACCCCAATACTGCGCTTTAAGCAAACAGGCACACCAGGAGATCATATCCCACACCTGGCCGGGAGGGTCCCACACCCACGGAGCCTCCCTCATTGCTAGCGCAGCAGTCTGTGATCTACCGGCAAGGCAGCAGCGAGGCTGGGGGAGGGGCACCTGCCATTGCTGAGGCTTAAGTAGGTAAACAAAGCTGCTGGGAAGCTCGAACTGGGTGGAGCTCACAGCAGCTCAAGGAAACCTGCCTGTTTCTGTAGACTCCACCTCTGGGGACAGGGCACAGTAAACTAAACAAACACAGCAGACACCTCTGCAGACGCAAACGACTCTGTCTGACAGCTTTGAAGAGAGCAGTGGATCTCCCAACACGGAGGTTGAGATCTGAGAAGGGACAGACTCCCTGCTCAAGTGGGTCCCTGACCCCTGAGTAGCCTAACTGGGAGACATCCCCCACTAGGGGCAGTCTGACACCCCACACCTCACAGGGAGGAGTACACCCCTGAGAGGAAGCTTCCAAAGCAAGAATCAGACAGGTACACTCACTGTTCAGAAATATTCTATCTTCTGCAGCCTCTGCTGCTGATACCCAGGCAAACAGGGTCTGGAGTGGACCTCAAGCAATCTCCAACAGACCTACAGCTGAGGGTCCTGACTGTTAGAAGGAAAACTATCAAACAGGAAGGACACCTACACCAAAATCCCATCAGTACATCACCATCATCAAAGACCAGAGGCAGATAAAACCACAAAGATGGGGAAAAAGCAGGGCAGAAAAGCTGGAAATTCAAAAAATAAGAGCGCAACTCCCCCGGCAAAGGAGCGCAGCTCATCGCCAGCAACGGATCAAAGCTGGACGGAGAATGACTTTGACGAGATGAGAGAAGAAGGCTTCAGTCCATCAAATTTCTCAGAGCTAAAGGAGGAATTATGTACCCAGCGCAAAGAAACTAAAAATCTTGAAAAAAAAGTGGAAGAATTGATGGCTAGAGTAATTAATGCAGAGAAGGTCCTAAACGAAATGAAAGAGATGAAAACCATGACACGAGAAATACGTGACAAATGCACAAGCTTTAGTAACCGACTCGATCAACTGGAAGAAAGAGTATCAGCGATTGAGGATCAAATGAATGAAATGAAGCGAGAAGAGAAACCGAAAGAAAAAAGAAGAAAAAGAAATGAACAAAGCCTGCAAGAAGTATGGGATTATGCAAAAAGACCAAATCTACGTCTGATTGGGGTGCCTGAAAGTGAGGGGGAAAATTGAACCAAGTTGGAAAACACTCTGCAGGATATCATCCAGGAGAACTTCCCCAACCTAGTAGGGCAGGCCAACATTCAAATCCAGGAAATACAGAGAACGCCATAAAGATACTCCTTGAGAAGAGCAACTCCAAGACACATAATTGCCAGATTCACCAAAGTTGAAATGAAGGAAAAAATCTTAAGGGCAGCCAGAGAGAAAGGTCAGGTTACCCACAAAGGGAAGCCCATCAGACTAACAGCAGATCTCTCAGCAGAAACTCTATAAGCCAGAAGAGAGTGGGGGCCAATATTCAACATTCTTAAAGAAAAGAATTTTAAACCCAGAATTTCATATCCAGCCAAACTAAGTTTCATAAGTGAAGGAGAAATAAAATCCTTTACAGATAAGCAAATGCTTAGAGATTTTGTCACCACTAGGCCTGCCTTACAAGAGACCCTGAAGGAAGCACTAAACATGGAAAGGAACAACCGGTACCAGCCATTGCAAAAACATGCCAAAATGTAAAGACCATCAAGGCTAGGAAGAAACTGCATCAACTAACGAGCAAAATAACCAGTTAATATCATAATGGCAGGATCAAGTTCACACATAACAATATTAACCTTAAATGTAAATGGACTAAATGCTCCAATTAAAAGACACAGACTGGCAAACTGGATAAAAAGTCAAGACCCATCAGTCTGCTGTATTCAGGAGACCCATCTCACACGCAGAGACATACATAGGCTCAAAATAAAGGGATGGAGGAAGATCTACCAAGCAAATGGAGAACAAAAAAAAGCAGGGGTTGCAATACTAGTCTCTGATAAAACAGACTTTAAACCATCAAAGATCAAAAGAGACAAAGAAGGCCATTACATAATGGTAAAGGGATCAATTCAACAGGAAGAGCTAACTATCCTAAATATATATGCACCCAATACAGGAGCACCCAGATTCATAAAGCAAGTCCTTAGAGACTTACAAAGAGACTTAGACTCCCATACAATAATAATGGGAGACTTCAACACTCCACTGTCAACATTAGACAGATCAACGAGACAGAAAGTTAACAAGGATATCCAGGAATTGAACTCATCTCTGCAGCAAGCAGACCTAATAGACATCTATAGAACTCTCCACCCCAAATCAACAGAATATACATTCTTCTCAGCACCACATCATACTTACTCCAAAATTGACCACGTAATTGGAAGTAAAGCACTCCTCAGCAAATGTACAAGAACAGAAATTATAACAAACTGTCTCTCAGACCACAGTGCAATCAAACTAGAACTCAGGACTAAGAAACTCAATCAAAACCGCTCAACT